TCTGTCGCTTGGATCCCACGCGCCTTTGGTGTCTCCGAGGACGACATACTTCGCCGCCATGGCCTTGATGCTCTCGTCCTCATTAGGCTCTTCAAATTCGGGTGAGGATTTGGTTTCATTGTCCAATGATTTCGCTTTTAAATTGGGAAAATTGGTTCTCCAAGCTTCAAATCATTGTTTCTTGGAAAAGTTTAAGATATATTGGAGAGAAGAACTGTGAATTGTTAACTAAATGGTAGTGAACAAGTGGTTTCGTCTTGTTAGGATTTGCCCTGTTGGTCTAGGGCAGGATATATACCCCTTCAATGGCAAGAAAATCCAGATTTCAATCTAGGATGATCCATGTTTTAAAAAAAATAGAGAAGAATTGTGAATAGGTCTAGTTTTGAAATGTTTGCAGAATCAAATTCTTCTTGATGTGCTCTATACTTGGAGCGTCACTGCTTCTTCCGGTTGATTACTACAATGAGTCGGATTTACCGACAAGAAAGGAGTATTCGATGGATGCTTTCACGATATCAAATATCACACGAGGTTCTAACAAGTAAGGCTTTTTTTTTTCTGGTGTGGCCATGACATAATTTGCATGATGATCTCAGAATTGTTTTCTTGAGATTTCTCATATGTTTTAATTTTCTTAGGTTGTGGGTGCATTTCTCATGCTTGTGGTTCATATCATTCTATGCATTGTTTTTGTTGTATAAGGTAAGCTTTTACCCTTGTCTACGATGATTTCCGCAATCTTGTTTCAATTCTGACAATTAATCATATATATACATGGACCGGATTATTTTTTATAGAATAGGTTATTTACTGGATCCTCTCATCTAGGAATATAACGAGATTCTTGCGAAAAGGCTTCAACAAATGGGAGAACTTAGGCATCGTGCTGACCAGTTTACCGTTCTTGTCCGGCAAGTTCCCCTCTGCCCTGAGCATAAGGCTCGTGGCTGTGGTGTTGATCACTTCTTCTCTAAGCATCATCCTTTCAGTTATCATTCGTATCAAATGTTGTACGACGGGAAAGATCTTGAATACCTTTTGGTAAAATTTGACTGCGGTGGTATCAACTTTTTAATAAGCACGGTTGGTCTTACCTATTAGGGAATTTGTCTGTTTTTCTTCTGCAAAAATGATGGTAGGGTCTTTTATATAGGGGAAGCAAAAGAAGCTTAAGGAAGAGCTAAAATACCAGAGGCACACAGACAGAGAAGCCTTGCTTTCAGATAGATCACAAGAACAGAAGCAGATATCCAAATCTGAAGAAAAGCTTAGGGAAATTACACATATGATTTGCAATCTCCAAAGCGAAACTATGCTAAGAGAGAAGGTAATTTCTTGAGGTCAGAGTTGATGGCTGACAAAGTTGTGGATTTTGTCAGAATTCTAGCACACTCGTATTTCGGTTACAAATCGTTCTTGTAATCGGTTGTATTGAAAACTAGATAATTTAAGATCTAAACTTAGTGTGGTCTAACTGAAGTCCCAAAAGAAACTGCATGAGGCATCTTGACCAAAACAGAGCCGTGTGTCGAATTTGGCGTGATAGAATACAAACTTTACACTCTATTTTTGGTTATATTTCATTAGATGTGCAACATGATGTCTAATCTGTTAAGACTTTGCTCTAACGTTACTATCTTTTGAGCACATTTCAATGTAGGAGTTACCTGTTGCGTTTGTCACCTTCAAATCACGAAGAAGTGCGGCACTGGCAGCTCAAACACAGCAGCACTCAAATCCTCTGGAACTGATCACTGAAATGGCTCCTGAACCAAGAGATGTATCATGGAGAACTCTTGCTATTCCACAAAAGATATTGCCTCTCAACAAAATCGGAGTCATTCTTGCAGCAGCACTTCTTACAATTTTCTTTGCTATTCCAGTCACAGCTGTCCAGGGAATTGCAAAGTATGAGAAGCTTAAGAAATGGTTTCCTCCAGCCATGGCTATTGAATTCATGTAATTTTTTCTCTTCTCCTACTTTATTATTGTTCTCATTAAGTAACACATTGTTTGTTTCTTGATTTGTGAATAAGAATATAAATTTGTTGTTTGCAACAGACCAGGTCTCAGCTCAGTTGTGACAGGGTACCTCCCAAGTGCAATACTCAAAGGTTTCATGTACATTATTCCTTACGCTATGCTCGGAATGGCGTATCTCGGCGGCTCTATTTCCAAGAGTAAAGAGGAGATAAAAGCTTGCAATATGGTTTTTTATTTTCTAATGGGAAATGTTTTATTTTTGAGTCTCATCTCCGGTTCTCTGCTAGATGAAATCGGAGAATATATCACTCATCCTAGAGACATTCCTAGTCACCTTGCTGCTGCTGTATCAGCTCAGGTTAAAGCCTATAAACCCTCTTCAAGAATATTTCAAATAAAAAACCGAATTTTCTTAAAAATAGTAACCTTTTTTCTTTCTCACTTGCTTTTTATATATAGGGAGAGTTTTTTATGACATACATCTTGACCGATGGTCTGTCTGGATTTTCTTTAGAGATTCTTCAGTTGGGGCTTATAATATTGGATATCATAAGATCCTACACTTATGGAAGAGGAAAAGAGAGAACCCCTTACCTTTTTTCATTTCCATATTTTCGGGTTATCCCGACGGTTTCCTTATCGATAATGATCGGTATGATTTATGCCGTGGTTGCACCATTGATGCTCCCTTTCCTAGTTGGCTATTTCTGCTTTGGATACATTGTATACTTCAACCAGGTCCACATTTTCTATAACCTTCTTTTTTACAACTACTACTTGGCATTATTAACTCTTGTTCCTAATTAAACTTTTTTTGCTCAGATGGAAGATGTGTATGAGACTACATATGATACGTGCGGTCGATTCTGGCCATTTATTCATCATTATATCTTTGTCTCAATTATACTTATGCAAATCACCATGGTTGGTCTCTTTGGGCTTAAGTCAAAGCCATCAGCAGCAATTGCTACTATACCTCTCATATTGATCACTATAGCGTATAACGAGTACTGCAAGATCCGCTTCCTCCCATCATTCAAACATTTCCCAATACAGGTTAATTTTTTCAAATCTGAATGTTGCCGAGGAAATGATAGGATATGGATAGATTCAACGTTTTGTGGTGCAGACAGCAGTTGAAATAGACGAAGAAGATGAAAAGAACGGCGAAATGGAAGCGCATTATGTGGATGCTGCGACCGTGTACAACAGTCATCAACCTTGCTTAGAGCGTGTAAGCTCAGAGGAATCACCAACAAACTTGAGCCAACCGTTACTTGAGACAGACTCCATTTGAGGCTAAATGTGAGTTTGTTTTGAAACTTTTGTCTTCTTAGTATTCTACATAGAGCCTAGATAGATGTCTAGGATTTTGAAGCTTCCACGTACATCCTCATGTTGTCTTTTTGGATTTAATGGTGATATTAACAAAATAGAATTATATTTGATTTATGGATAGTCGTAGTGTGCAGAAAACAGAGTGGATAATTTAGCAAAAGCAGATTTTAAGCCCCAAACCAAACTTCAATAGGAAGAACAATGGAATAAGAAGCACAATGACATGATAATCTTGAAGAAATGACATATTACATGCTTACAATTCATCATGTATTTTCTTCAACCCCACAATATACTTCTTTTCTTCATCCCATTTACCGCATATCCATTCACATTTTGTCTCTAGATGCCTGATTTTTTCCTCGTAATCATAATCATTCCTTGTCTCTCTTCCTCTTTCTTTTTCAAGCTTTTTGATTACCTTTGTCAAAAGCTGTTGGAAAAACCAAAATCATTCCATCGATTAGTTCAAAATTTTAAGAAAGGAGACAGTAAATACAAGTTTTAGAGTAAAAAGAGGGAAAGAGTCATGGTTTTGATTACTTTTATTTCTTTATCTATAGACATTTTCAAATTGTGATCTTGACTTGTTGGGTTGTTAACAAGTTCACCATTGGCAATAGCTTTATTTCTCAACTTCTCCGTCTCTTTAATATTCCTCAGCAGATCATGTATTGCTTTGCTACTGCTACTTTTTGGAATTATTCTCTTATTGTAGATGAACTGATTGATTTGTAAAAATGTTAAAAGTTAGTGTTAAAGGGATATAAACTAAAAACTATTACACCAAGTGGTTGGTAGCCTAGTAGTCTTGAAATTTGAAAAAAAGTTTTCAAGGTCACTAGTTCAACTCCACTTGGGAAAAATGATTTACACTTTAAATATGGTATTATAGATCAAAGATCTGAAAATCCAACGGTTTATAAAAAAAAAAAGCTATTAAGTAATCGTAGTATAGTACCTCCCAATTTCTTTCTTTGAAATGAATTGTTTCTTGACCCGGTTCATTGTTTTGGAGGTGTTGTTGTCTTTCTCCTAGCTGTTGTAGTATCTTCTTTTCTTGTGCCAAACTTTTACAACCGTGCAACATTGAGATTTGCTTGCACTAAACCGTTATGGTGCACCCAAACACATGCAAAATATATAATGTGATGATCATACTGAACAATGAATTTGTTTCAGTACCCTTAATTTAAATCATGGGTCACTATAAACATATCAATATTTTATTTAACCATTTAACATAGGAGGTTGATTATTCTCTTTTGTTATTCCTAGTATATTGTTTGTACAATGTAAAAACAAAATGATATCGATTGGTTGTGTGAGGACTTACGTAATCAGGATTTTCTATTCTCCTTTGAGTTGGTTCTTCTTTATTTAGTTTTTGAAGATTATTTTGCAGTTGCTCTCGCAGATTCTTGTAGTATTTGATACAGTTTCCAGCCTGGCGACTGCGATACTTAGAATGTTTTTCTTCAATGTAGAAACTAAACCTGTTCAACTGCCGAAAAGATTCATTATCTTGTAAAAACCTTATAACTTAATAAAATTAGTGCAAGTAATCATTGTTTGTTATTTATAGATCCTTACTCTGCTTTCTATGTAACTCTTGTATGTCTGTTGATAATCCCTCTCGAGCTTTTCCAGTCGCTTCTCAGCTTTGGAAACTAACATATGCATCTTTGGATCAGCGCATGGTGACATCTTATTGCGGTATAGTTCCCTTAAACCATTTTCATCATAGTTGCCTCCAATACCAATAGAGTTGGATATTTTGTTGACGTTGGGTAGAGTAGAAGCTTCCATGGCAAAAATTTCAATAAATTCTCCTATATAAGTTTCTTTTGGGATCCAAATAAATGCCCCTAAGTAGGATTTGAAAGCATATAGCTTGAATGAATCAACCTTTTACTATTGATTATCCAAATTCTTGCACCCCACACCAAGGAAGTCAATGGCTCTTTCCATAATTTTGATTTTAATATTTAGCCATATAAAAAATTTATTGGAAAGAATAAACTTATTGAGGCATAAAATACAAAGAAATGCTTGGCATGATATTTGAATCTCAATGTTGATAATATGAGAGAGAGGAAGTCATAGTTTGACCAAGAGCCACACCACTAAAGTCAATGGCTTTTGGTCAAAAGGTTTGGATATAAGCCGCGTTACTTGCAAGACAATCTTATGATGATATGGTTAGTTATGTTAGTTAACATCAATTGTTAGTTAATATCAATTGGGTTTGTAACATTGCATTGACGTAATTTTTTAGAAAACATTCAAAGAGACTTTATATATCACCTTAAAGTTATTTTATTTTATTTTCCTTGGGGGATACTTTAGTAGTATTGAAAATCATTCAAACCTTCTTTCAATGTTCCAATAATCCAATGGTTAAATGAACCTGAAAAAAAAAAACATTCAGCAAATTAATCAACCGAAGTTAAGATCGGTATCTGGATTTGAATGTGATTATATATTTATATATACCCGAGGAGATAAAGCCAGTTTACTCACAATAGCAAAGATCCCTGACGACATCGGTAACACTGTTTGCTACACCATCTTATCTTTCTACATGGTTCGGCTTCATTCAAACTTAGCGTCTCATCAACGATTCATCTTGCATTGCTTCACATCCTCGAAAAGTCTTATATCTTAAATATATTTTTAATCGTCTTATCACTAGTTATAATTTCTAAAATGTCTCTCTTGGAGAAAGAATTAAAAGAGGATGAATAATAATAAAAAAATATATATATTTTGATAAGATAGATAACTGTTTATTAGAATATTTTTTTATGCTGACCCAATGGTGAGATCCAGTGAAGAAAAAACGTTGCACACGACAAGAAGAGAATTCAGACCGTCAAAACGATTGGTATACCGTTAGAAATTTCCATTTCCAACGGTTTCCGAGCGTAAAAAATAAGAAGAATACATTCGAGAAAAAAAAAATCCATCCGTTGGTTCTATATATTGATCTTGGTGATATTCCTTTGGAATAGATCTTAGCATGTCTTTGAACCGATAGAATTAGATCTCTGAAGTTACCCTTTTTCGGCAGCCTTTTCGTTGTGAAGCAGTTTTGTGCCTCGAGTTAAAAGTTTTATTCAAATCGAGTATGTATTTCTTTTCTGCGTCTCGTTTCTCGCCTATGCATTTAATGTTTTCTTGTAGATGCCTCATCTTTTCTTTATATGCTTTTTCAATCTTTCTCTTATCTTGTAAAATGTTCTTCATCTC